ACTTGTAAAGTGTGCATCACTTATAACTCAAGTATATCTCACGTAGCATGGTTGTAAGTATGCTTGACTGGGTTGTAAGTCCAGATAGCCAAGTTATAAGTCAAGTTGTAAGCCAGCCAATTACAAAAGGCACCAAAGGTCCATGCCATGCGTCCCAAAACCACCGGTGTTGGCGCACGAAAAAAACAAAAACACACAAACAAGGAAGCTCCTGGGTGGTGTATAGTTTCACGTGGTATAGAATCTGGAACTACCATTCATTGACACATTCATTGGCCCCCCCAGTTCACCTTTCTCAGCCCTCCTGACGCCAATCCTCACCGACCGGACTAGAAAAAGGGTGCGACCGGGGGTGGGTGGAGGCCAGAGGTGTTCGAAGTGCCTAGCGGGGTTTGGTGGGGGCCAGGTGGCAAAATAGGCGCGGCATAGACCTTTCTTTCCACCAAACACATCTAAAATAATCCAAACCTCAAATCACCAAAATGAACAACAAATCATCCAGCACCAGCACCACCATTCACCCTTCATCGTGCTGGTTGACCTCTCAAACTCAGTCTCTGAATTTGGTTTAAGGAACAAACATCGCCGGGATCCCAGCTTTTTGTTGGATGATTTTGCCTTTTCGGAAATCACCTAGACGACTCCCCTTTACACGTGTTGTTCACCAATATTCATTGATCTCAGCACCCATGGCTGCATCATGCATCGATCTCCACTTCGTCGGACCGTCTGCATCGCTTCGTCGATCAAACCGTTTCGATCGAGCCGCTTAGCTCGGGCTCATCGTCCTCCAATCCGAAGAACAAAGGAACCTCAGCGTCTCGTAGGTCTCGCATCTCCGAAGAAAAGTAAACACAACGCTTGTTGGTCCAAAGCAAAACCCCGCCAATCTCGGTCTGAATCAACACCATTTCAATTGAACAAAATGATTGACCTGGCAGTTTTTGGTGTCAAATCCTGGCAGTTGACCTGACAGCGATAGTAAAACAATAATTAATGGCTGCTCTATGTTGTATGCTTGCGGCATGCGAGTTAAATCTGTGATTTTTCCCAAAGGGAACCATGTTTCAGGTCCCGAGTCCCTTTGAAGCTCCAAGGATATTGGACATCAACACCTTCCAAACAGCATCCTGTCTGGAATTCCCGGATAGTAGTGTAGGGTAGTCCAGCAGGACTTGCCAAACAGGATGATCCTGGTCCAGGCTCATTTGAGGATTCTGGAGCGCGAAAAAGCCCTTGGATTTCGACCGAAGTCTCTAAACCCTGGTTTTGCCCGGGAATAATGGTGTGATCTGAGATGATTTTCCAGATGTCTTCCTTCAAGAACAACAAGACTTGAGCTAAACTGCTGCCGAAACTGGGACCAAATGTTGGCCCCCCCCACACGCAAAACTGGTTCCAGGCTCATGCCACATCTGCTGATCTCTTCCTCACCATCAAAACCGCGTCGTTGATCGATGTTGTTCGTCCGGGTGGCAGTTTCCCGGATGAATTCCTCCTCCACGGCTTTTTGCTCGGAGAAGTACTGATGCGTGCTATCTTTGTCCGTAAAGCCTTCGAAGGGCTGGACCGTCTCATGGATGAAGATCTTCAGTAGATTCTTCACCTGCCGACGCGGCGCCGAAAGAACACACGACGACGCGACGACAAGAAAGGCCGAAGCGAACCGAACGAAGACTGCTCACCGCGCCACGGAACGAAGGCTCCGCGTGGCCGGAGTTCAGGGAGCAGGGGCAATCCTGACTTGGAGCAGCATGAGAAATGAAGTACACCTGGGAAGAGATCCACAGGGAACATGATGGCATGGACCTTTGATGACCTTTGTGATGTTTCCTCTACAACCCAATGGTTTCAGGTTCCAGGTTCATTTTTCAGGGTGTAGATGGACATGGCCACCGTGACCCCAGCATCTCGATCCACGGCAAGGCACAACCCTGAAACCCCTACATCTCCACTTCGGATCTCCCTTTTCCCGAATCGTCCAGATCTGCGAAGTCCCAAGTCCGTTCCGCGCCGCTGCGAACTTCAACAGAAGGATCACCGATTTTTCGTCGCCAAACATGCCTGCCGGGGGCCGATGAAATTCTGGTCCGCCAAACATGCGGAAGGTCTTGTGGAAGGGTGGTGGAGGGCGGCCCGCTTTTCGGTGTTCTAGCAGTGGTACACCCAATATATATATATAATATATATAGAGAAGCCGTAAAACACAAAGGAAGCGCCATCTATAGTGGTACAAGTAAGGTTGTCCAGTTGGTGCCGTGACTGACAAAGGTCCAAGCATATCCTTTAAGACATGCAGGGTCCAACAAATTCAAGTGTCTTTTTCCACACGCCTGGACTGGGATTTCAACCATGTCAAAACAAATAGTCAGAAATTAATTCCAACACATCTGACCCATATGGGCTAGAACATATATGAATAGAATTGAATAGAACTTCTGGGTGCGTAAAAACCCGTCTACTCTTTATTCTACACACTGCAGCTAGCACACACCCAGGACCTCCAGTCCGTGACCGTGAGATCTGGGACTTGGACTGGTCACGAACTGAAGGTCCTGGGTGCATGAAGATGGACAGAATGAACTACTATAGGAGGACCACAGGTCCACCTACCAGGGTGGAGGTCCACCTATCAGGTCCACCTTCACCCTTCTGCCCAAAGATTCCAGCCCGCCATCTCTCCTCTTTTTGCTCTTCTCGCAGCCAAGCAGCAAAAGGTTTGTCGATTGCTAGCGGTCTCCGACAGTTTCCTTACAGCGGGAGATGGAACACCGGACGAGGCCTCCGAACCAAAGTGCTTTGTTCGGTCTTGCGAGCGGCGCCTTTCGCAACAGGTGCGCAGCAAGTGGAGAGCGAGAGAGAGAGAGAGAGAGATGGATGTTTTTTTCTCAACACCCCAAGAAGCGCGAACACGGGTGATGCATCGTGATTGCATCACCATGTGCCTTGTGAGGAGATCACCTCATCAGAAATCCACCAATACTAGGTGAAGAGAATGTATGGTGTATGTTGTGCCCATGTGAGGTGCGATGATGTGCCCACGTGACGGTTGTTCTGTGCCGTCACGTAGCTCCGCTCCTGAACGGTTCCTGCGGCGCCCTTGGGGGAAAGAGGTCGATCTCCAAGCACTGATCTATATCTTAGACCTTAATAATAAAGGTCTAATCTATGTCTATATCAGTCTAAATAAGTGCTGATCTATATAAGAAAGATCAGCACTGATCTATATCTATAATAATAAAGGTCTAATAAGTGCGGTACGAGCTTGCTGGAAGCACCTGATCGCTCGATCTTACTCGTCTCGGAAGGCTCCGGTTTTGAACAAAACAAGTGGCTTGGCGTGCAGCATTCCACGTATCAAACGTTGTTGAGCTGAAAGGATCTCAATTAGGCCTCTTGGACAAAAGCTCCAGTTGCTGGGGAGATGAGCCCTGTGATATGCCTTTTTGATCATCATGATCATCATGGAGACTCACCGTTGAAAGTTCGACAAGCCATGGACCCAACAAACCTCCTGCAGTTCCGGTGGTCTCCCCTCAAAACGACATGTTGCCATCCGGGCTCGTGGAAAAAACACCTAAACCAACCATCTCCCATAGGGCGAAAACTCAGTTCAACAAGAAAACACCATCAACAAAGATCTCCCAAATCTTTTGATGACACATCGCAACTCCTGCCAACCCCAGCAACTATAATAGTTGATTTCGCACAACCCCACACCAACCTTTTATTCTCTTCTCCTACGAACCCCACCAAATGCTCGATGTCACAAAACACAACTCCCAATGCTGCTTCACCTTGGAAACACCTACCGGCCCCACCAACAATGACTATAACCCGAGTGCCAACTAAAATGGGCCCAGCAGTCTTCCTGTACCACCCCCAGGGCGTGTTCAAATCTCCATGTGAATCGCAGCATGCTGATGAACTCTTACAACCGATTCTCAACAAGCTCCCTCCCAGCAACCCAAACTCCACTGGCCTCGCGGGACCCATTTCATCCCATTTCTGAACCCACCTCCTGGTGACTTTCTCCCCACTTTGTGGGGGCGGGGTGAACATCTTCCACCTCTCACCATCCTCTCCTCCCACACCTAAGACGATCCCTGAGGTCCCATCCTCCGGACCGACCAAAGACCCTCGGCCTCGGCAGACCGAGCGGCACGAAGGTGGGGAATTTGGGATCCTGGGAGCGGCCGTGCTCCGCTGCAGCGGACTCCACGGCGGCCAGGGCGATGACGAGGTAGTCGGTGAAGAGGCACACCTATACCCCCGACCGACGACGCGTCGACGGCGCACGACCCAGGTCGCGCCATCCACGACCACGGCATGCCGACGCGCCACGACGAGGACGCGCGCGAGGCAGGAAGAACCCCCCCGACCGGGAGCGGCCCCGGACGTCGTGCCACCCGTCATGTGATGTCGTGGCGACGAGTCGGGGGTGGGACAGGCGGCGGGTGGAAGGCGGGTGCCTGTCTGGGACGGTAGAAATACATGATCGGTGGTTAGCAAGGTATAGTTATATTATAGGCCAATGTACAAAAGGCATAAGGCATAAGGCATCTATTCCAGTCCCATGGAGTGTATGGGGTGCGGTGAACTCGAAGCAAAGATGAATGTGGGTGTCCGGGGAAAAAGAAAGGAACATACCAGCGCATACCAACGTCCCTCCAATGGGCACCCCTTAGCACCTAAAACCATTGAGCACCCCTTAAGATTTTCATGCTGCCAACCTAGTTTGAAGCATACCGGACCATATAACTCATTTTAAACTTGGAGCTGGTAAACTATAGAACCAGACCTCTTGATGAATTAGACCAGCATCATCCAGCATCCACAAAGGCAAGTGATGGCCAACGGCTGCCAAGTTAAAGCAACATCTGCCTGGTTCTTCAAAGTGACCTTTTGATCCCATGGTTGGTCTCCAAACAGGTCACTTTGAACGTCCTGGTGTGTGATCTCAGGGTTCTATGGATTTTCACAACCTTCAACAACTGCTTTATCTAGCCTCTTGAACCTGAAGTCAGTGGTGAAACTGGCTTCGGCTTCTCTTTTTTGAGCCTCGAAGTTTGAGCTGATTCACCATAAACAATCGCAACAACAACGGTTGCTATACTATAGACATTGAAGCCCTGTAGAAAAGAACGCCAAATCCAAGACCAAAATCACCCAGATTGGGAGTGCCTTTCGGCCACTGCATGCCACTGCACTTCCTCTGCATGCCGCATGCCACTGATCTCTCCATGTCCGCTTCCTGTGCCCCTGGTGACGATCCCACAGCGACCTCGCAGCTCGGACGTCCCCACCACCCACGACCCGCCCAGAAAAGCTCGCCTGGTTGAAGAGATTGTGTTGCCACGGGATGCCTTGGAGGTGAAAGGATCCCGTTCAAAGTCCCAGTTCAACGAAGGGTCCGGTGGTCTGGGCCACTTGGATCGTGCGGAACACGCCGCTCCATCCAAACGAAATATATCAATCGTCTGGGCGATCGTCTTCTGGAATTTGGCCGCATGGCTTTTCTGGAAGGTGCCTCCTGGTGCTTCCTGGTGACAAGTCCGGTGCCCAGAAACCAGTTGTGGTCGGGTCTCCAAACAGCCTGGCCAGGAGGGTCCTGGTACATTGACCCCTGTTCAACTACTCCAATGTGTGTGTGAATATGCCTTATACATGGAGTGTCAGAAGGCGTGGCACACCGCCATCATCGCTTCAATCTCCACTGCAGCGACCAACAACGGGGACAAAAGCGAAGGAACGTTGCAACGTCGCAACGCCGTTGCGCGAACAAGGCTAAACATCAACATCTGCATGCTGAGGGAATGTGTTCCAGAAACAAGTAGCCTAGCGACTTGGTCGTGTCATTAACCGAGCGACTTGATCGTGTTGGTCGTCTATAAAGGGAGTTCCCAATGTACAATCCCATGTATACAAAGCCACACACACACCACGGTGACGCATGACACCCCTCCACTCAGTGCGACACGGTGACACGGACGTTTCGGGTGGGTCGAGCAGCTAGGTCGGCACCGACTCAGTGACCCTTCGGTCTCAAGACGTTCCTTCTTTGATGTTTAAGGTGGTCCCAAGATGTCCCCAAGATGTCAGGGTGTTCACTGGACTTCTAAGGGTCTTCACTTGGATATACTGGCATACTGGCCTTTTCTTGCAGCTCCCCTTCACCTTCCCTTAGGTCCCCAGGGGCGCCAGAAGCGCGGCTCGAGGGCCGCTTCGCCGCCCATGAACTGCGCCTCACGAAGCAACTTGCGCGCGGTGCTGCAGCGGAAGACCACCTGGCGCGGACCGCGCGACCCACGGCAGGGACCCGTCGACCGGACCGCGCGATGCGGGCGATTGAAGGTGTGCGCTTGAGGCGCAGAGTTGGGAGAAGATGGGAGGAGTGGGCGTGGGTTACCATCGAAAAGGGTTGGAGGGACTGGAGTCCAATCTCAGTCATGGCCGGTGCCATGAGTGACGAAAGGAGTCATCTGCAAGGTCAGTAGAGCTCACAAGCTCAAAAAGCATCAAACGGTCGAAAGGAAAACGGCTCTCCTGCCGCGAGACAAGCAGCTCGTCAAAGTACATTCAGCTTCGGTATTCCATACACGCCGTGTTCGATAGCAGCTGTTAAAATGCTGTTTTGAGGCATCTCAAAGGACTTCCACGGATTTCCAATGAAGCATCTTAAAGCATCTTAAGAGGCAGCTTTAATAATTCTTGTCCGGATCTCGAAGGCATCTTAAAGGGGGACTCACATGGGGGGTGAGGACAGTGTCCTACCCAGCTCTCACACGAACCAGAAACACCTGCAGAGGTGTAACACGGGTTGCGCCTCGGTGGTCTTGGGATCTAGAAGGCTCTTGTAAGAGATAAAAATCTCTTGCCAGCACTGGTCCTCAGCTGGAAATCATATTAAGAACCTCTCATGTTGCTGGTGGATGATGATCTTTCGCACCAAACACAAAGGAGGAGGAGGAGGAGGAGGAGGAGGAGGAGGAGGAGGAGGAGGAGGAGGAGGAGGACATACCAAGATATTTCAGGGCCGAATTGCATAAGCAAGTTAAACTAACGACTAAAGTCCTCCACTTTCCGCGTCCCAAGGTGCCAGCTTCCGGAAGGCCAAGTCGGAGGCGCGGTCCGAGTGGAAGAGCGAGTCGGCGATCATGGTGATGAGCACCGCCACGCAATTCCTGCAGCTGAACGCTCTGCGCTCCGCTGACTGCGGAGCCAAAAATCACATCGAAGAAGACCGAGCTTCTCAGCTCAGGGGGTGGTGGTGGATTAGATTTCGGGGTCAAATGGGCTATATACCAGCACCCTCCAACCACCTGTGGTCGGGTCTCCAAACAGCCTGGCCAGGAGGGTCCTGGTATGTGTATGTTTGATCCGGAATCAGCCACTGGCCCCAGGGATTCATTAGGGATTCATTGGATGCCGGATCTATGGCCCTTCTTCCAGGGAGGTCTACGCCTTTTTTTCCAATCCACGAGCTCGGTGTGCCATGCGTGGACCGAGCGAGCGCAGCTCGGAGTCAGAATGAAGGTTCCTCCTGCTTAGAACTCGATGGAAACAGGGACATGGTCTGAGGAACATGGTCTGAAACATGTCTGAAGGAAGGGGATGAAGGGGTGCCCCCACAAGGAACAAAACATGTTCATACATGTTCTACTTGCATGAGGATGCCTCAGGGAGGGTAGACTGTGACCCTCCCTGAAACAATCTTGGAAGTGGAATACAGGCTGTTCATAGAGGAATTCAGTCTTCCTTTTGTGGGGCCATGTTCCACGCAACCATGTTTGTTTGATGGTTCATGTTGGTTCACTTGGTGATTGCCCGGTATGCACCTTGGGATCACCGGGAACATATCCTTACACCACTGCGTGCCGCTGACAGCTGGACTGCTGGGGGACATTGTTTGATTCCCAGCGTGAGCCGGGATGCAACACACCCTACCTGGTGAAAGTTCAAGCGTTGCCATGTCTTACCTATGTAGATACCTTTTGCCAATATGTTGGATTATATGTTGAGTGCATTAGCGTGTCAAAGACAATTGCGCCTTGTGTTCTTCTGCGATGGTTTCTTCTTCCTCTTGTCTCTCAGCATCGACCGACCGTTCTTGAGGCACCATCCAAGCGACATCATGAGGCCATCGAAGGTGTCCCGCTTGTGGATCACATTATGGCGACTGCAAGGCACCTGCAGTAGGGTACCTGACGAACGAGCCAACCGGCCGTGGAGCGCGGGAAAGCGGAGCTCAGCTGAACATCCAAAATGAAGCGCCCCCCAGAACGCCAAAAGAGAGAGAGTGTGTGTGTTCCACCGACCCGTGACATATGCTGTCTAAATTGTTGGTTTCACCCAACAAAACCTTCCCTCTGTTGTAAAACGTCGTTCGCACGGTCCTTCCTTCACCCCACGGTTTAGCCTCCTTTCTCGCCCGGTCGCCCAGCCCCGCGCACTCGCGCCAAAGGCGGCGGCGAGCAAGCCGACCGTGCTGAAGGTTCGGGAGTTGAAGGACACCTCGGTCGGCGCGACGCGCGGCTGACCGCGCTCTGACCGGGTCTGTGCGACGTTGCTGCTCTGGCGCCTATGTGAGACCCCGAAAGCAAGTGTGCTATGTGGTGCCCCCTTGGGCTGGAGAGATACGGAGAAGGAACGGAAGGTTGTTGCCACAATCTCATTTAGATAGGAAGGATTCAATGTTGGTCTCACCCAATGTTTACCATCCCTGAAGCAAGCCAGCTTGTCACCAGCTTTATTTCGCCTATTCGGCCTAGCAGGCTCTGTGTTGTGTACCAGCGATCTCGGCCGCGGAAGAGCGGTCCGGTTCTTTTTTTCTCCAACCGGTGGAACCAGTGGAACCCATCGAAAAAGGAACAGGTTTTCCGTCAAACACATGCTTGGGTACAAGGAATCTGCCCCCCAAAACACGCTCGTCTTCAACAGTTGGATCTGCCCCAGGCGCCGACTTTCTCGTCCCCAAACGGATCCGTTCCAACGGGAGTTAACCCGACAGGAACGGTTTTGGAGTCGGGACCAGGGTTGGACCAGTGTACCGTTAACATGACTTCTGAAGCTATGAGGTGAATAGCGTTCCAAAGCTACGATAGGGAGTGTAGAATCAAGAAGAATGTGCAACAAGAAGATATGAAAAGCAATCCAACAATCCAACAACCAACCAACCAAATATATATATATATATATAGAACATCCCAGGTAGCGCTTCAATGCAAACCAGCGTGGTGCGTGCTTCTCCCGCCGATGTCTCTCGCCGCGGTGGTGCGCCCAGGCCACGAAAAGTCCACCGAAGGTCCAAATGAAGGTGATCGCCTCGTTTCAGCCCTTCGGAGGTCCACCATGGGGGGTTTGCGAAGCTGTCAACGTGCGACCCGGGCAAACCATGGATGACCCGGATCCACAGATTGGACACTATAAGAGGTCCACCCAAATGGACCACCCCGTTGAAAAAAAGGGAAAAGAACAACAAAACGCGCTAAGGCCGACTACAGTAGATGTATGGATTTCGGGTGAATGTTCACTCCCCTTCTCCTCATGTTAGCTGGTCAATCGATGTGAGCCTCCACGATCGAGCACACCGGCTGATCGTGGAGGCAGCTCGGGGCGTGGAGAAATGTGGATAGAGTAGATACAGGATTCATTACAAGCTCCAAACTTGACACCCTACAAGTCAGTTTGAACTCATTTTGCTGGAGTTGGCCATACAAAAAAAAGAACCAGGTTTTACCAGGTCTTTAGACTTGTAGGGAATGGTTTTTGAGCGTGTTTGAGCTCTGCGCCTCCAACTAGCTCCTGAGAAGGTGGTTGGGGTGGGTGCCAGCGGGTCTAGCTACCTTTTGAGGATGTGGGCCAGGAGCCCTACACTATCAGCCTGCATGAAAAACGGGAGACCAATCTCTATGTGTTAGACTGTTAGACTCCCTAGGTTCAAGTCCAGCTTTTTGGCACCAGTCTACCCCACGTTTCCAAACGTGGTTCTCTGCAGGGGGAGTGCTCCCCATTCACACACATTCGCATGGACCAATTGAGCGCCTGGCCTGACTGGCCTGGTCGGATTCCCATCAACCAATTTCAAGCACAGTCAGCCTAGCTGACATAGGATCTGAGAATTCAGCATTGTGGAAGAACTGTGGAATACCCCAACATCTGCTTCAAACCAAGTTGCATGTTCGGAACATTCGTCGAAGCATGCCGGACAAAGGGGATAACATCTAGATTATTCTAGACTTACCCCCAACATCTGCTCACAAACAGTTGCACATTCGGAGCTAGAGTTGAATAATGGTGGGACAAAGCGCATCCGGCCAAAAACACATGTGCAAAGGGCTCCAAGAATAACATCCTTCTAGCACCAACCGCTTGATGTGCTGCCCAAACTGCAGAATGCAGGACCAGGTCCTCGACAGCACAGCTGTCCACAAAGCCTCAAAAGCCCAAGGCTGTGAATCGAACAAAACAACATGGTACCAATGGACCAGGAATCGGGGCAACCTCCTCACCTTGAAGGCAGCTAAGGAACACTTTCAATGAATGGGTTTTATTAAGGGAAAACCCGTGGGGGCTTCAGCCTTGCCTTTACCCTCGACACGTCTGGTTTTCCAGCTCGGATGACCAATTCTGGGACACGTTTCCATCCTTGAAGATCCGTAGAAGGAGCATGAAGGAGCAAAGCGTGTCCATCCAGCACACCAAAACTCCAGCACTGGCGACTTAAGCACTGAAGGAAGTTGGAAGTTGATGGAAAAAAACATGCAATCGGTATCATGCAACTACTGGTGCTGAGTGGAATGTTAGTAGATATTAGTAGTTATAAGTAGTGCCCTCACACATGCACCCAACGGGAATGTTTTGATTCTGCCATGTAACTCCAATCGTCCATCTCGGGTGAATGTGATGAGCAGCATGGATTGCTCATGTCACTCACATTTGACGTGAGCAGCATGATTTTCACGTCCGAACTGAAACCTTTGAGCAGGATTATGGACTATGACTCATGACTATATGATACTATAATACTATATGGTACTATATGAATCTATATCAAGTGATATGATATCGTATGGATGAGTTTTGATTTCAGAATGTCCAAATCATATTCTATGGTTGGAAGTTGGAAACAACATGAAGCAACCGTGTTTTCCACGGATTTCGCTCCACGTCCTTAAATGGGGAGCGTCGACCCAGGTCGACGCCACACGCGCACGTGGTGCCCACCTCTCAACAGGCGCGCCAAGACGTTCCCCAGCATCAAGCCCTCAACAGTTCGTGCGCATGCCAGCGCATGGAGATGCAGTCGGCGTGGAGAAATTCACTCCGCGATGGCCATTCTAGAAGTTGCCATAAGGTTCTTCATGGAATTGATCTCTTCATATCTCTTCGGGTTGTGGGGTTTAAAGGATTCTTTGCCATTCTATGGATGGCCATTCTGCACATGTCAGCACTCAAGAGGTCATGGAACATCAACCTTGATACAATCTCACCGAGATCTCCCAGAACCTGCCAGTGTTCATCTTTTGGGATCTCTATCTGGCATCATCTTCTTTTCCTCCCTGAGGCGCCGGCACTCCGGAGAAACAAAAAA